CCTAATCACGGGGCCGATGACAGGCCGGTGTGACGCCACTGCCGTCATCAGTCACAGCGTTTTCCTGGCTGCTATGGGCCGGCGCCACCGTAGCCTCCCCGATCAGGTGCCTCTCGCCAGACGACAATCCTCTATCTGGGTATAAGTATCTGTTAGCGCGCTGTTAGATGGCGGCTTCATCCACATCTCACTCTACAGCACTAGTCTTCTGAATCCGGCGATATGCCGGATGGGCACGAGCATCTCCGCTTCCATGGAATCCTTGTTCATCTGGTGAGGCTGTTATCCGGGCCCTATCTGCTAGCATGCCGGAGCGCCCTTGATCGATCAGGGGCCCTCAACGGATTATTTCCGGTCGTCTGATAGCCTCTATTGATTGTGGCCCCACGTGTAAACCTGCCGAGTACTCTCAGTCGCTTAGAGGCCCGTCACATTCCTCTCGGGTTCCCTCCACTTGCTCGGAGGGCCCTGTGCTGTTGCTGGGACCGATATGAATGAGGATGCCAGGGCACGCAATACTCCGGGGTTCTCTTCGTTGGTCTTGGGCCACTCTCCCCCCCCCCCCCCTGTCTCAATTGCGGAGGACCATTTACTCTTCTCGGGTGCCCTTTCGCAAGCCTGCCAGACGGGCACTCCTGATTGCGCAGGGGCGAGTAGCAATGGTCTTGAGCATTTCTTATTTGCCTGGAGGACCCTTCGCTGTTGTCCGGGACTCCACACATCCATCTGCCAAGGCACTCTCGAACGCTCAAGGGCACTGGTTTACCTGCTTCTTGTTCACCTGGTCTTGATTTCTCCCCGTTTGTACGGAAGGCTCTGCATTTGGTCGGGACCCTATATGTTAACCTGCCGGGGCGCTTCGGAGGGCTCAGGAGCCATCACAGGAGGTTGAGGAGCCATCACATTGGTCGAGGATCCATCACATTGGTCGAGGAGCCATCACATTGGTCGAGGAGCCATCACATTGGTCGAGGAGCCATCACATTGGTTGAGGAGCCATCACATTGGTCGAGGAGCCATCACATTGGTCGAGGAGCCATCACATTGGTCGAGGAGCCATCACATTGGTCGAGGAGCCATCACATTGGTCGAGGAGCCATCACATTGGTCGAGGAGCCATCATCTTCTTCTCGTCCGCTCAGAGGATCCTTCGCTGTCGACGGAAGCTCTGTGTTGGCCTGCTGCGGCATTCTCGATCGATCAGGTGCCGTCCCCATTAGTCCTGAGTTTTCCATCTTGTCTAAATACCGATTGGCTGGGGCACTCTTGGTCGATCCGGGTCCACCACACTGGTCGTGAGCCGTTCCGATGACGTCAGAAGGACGTTTCATCTGGGCACTCTCGGTCGATCCGGGTCCATCACACTGGTCATGAGCTGTTCCGATGGCGTCAGAAGGACCTTACTCTTTTGCCAAAAGCCCTAAACGTGCTTGCGAGCGCCAGGGCGTTTTGCCTGTTTGTGTATACGGGCCTCGCTAAGTTAAATTACGTACACAGGTTCGAGATCTCCTCGATGACGATTTCCCCTGGCGCCTTAACCTTAGAGCAGCAGTCGGATGTTTTCCGACGCAAGTTCACGCACAACTGCTCACGGCATTGTACGCGCCGCCGACGTGGCATATGTAACATCGGTTGGCTGTTGAACTTATGAAGCTCATCATACTGGTGCATCACGTTCTTGGCACAATATGAGTGAGGTGTGTCACGTGATGATAGGTGATGCGTACGCGTCGCGTGTATTTTTCTAAAGCTGCACGCAGAAAGATGGGTTCTTGTATGAAAACAACATGTATAGTATCTTAAAATTGAATGGTCGGAATACAAGCCCTTTTTTGAAGCGGCCCCAAATTTCGGGGGAACGTAATGTTTAGTACCCTTGGCGAATCTTGGATGCCCCACTTATTCCAGCTCGGAAAAGGCGGCACGCCTAACAAAAGACTCAGACGTTTGGATACTCAGCTTTGTTCAAAGTTGTGACGTTCACATTAAAAAGTCCGTGCACCTGCTTGTGGTTCTGACTTGCTTACTTCTGCAAATCTGGAGCCTGCGCTTACGTCTTAGAAATAGAATTCTTGCAAAGCAGAGAAGTACAATTAAATCGACAATAAAGTTCCCTGACGCTCCAGTTCGCCACAGTTCTCGGAGGCCCATTCTGGAACCTTGGCCTGTAACGCAGCACAGAGCTGCCATGCAGACCAGTCCTGAAGTCGGCGCATGCCCTCGGCAGCAGACAGACCGGAGAGCTGGACTGACTGATGCCTGGCTCATTCGTTCGACGGTGTTGTAGTGAAGCTCCATTGAGATCGAATTGAGCGGAAGAGGCTGCTGTGAGGTTCGACCGTGTGGCAATGAAGCCCGATCGAGATCGAAGTGAGTGGAAGAGGCTGCTGTGCGGTCGGTTCTATTCGCTGTGCAGTTCGACGGTGTGGTAATGAAGCTCGATCGAGATCAAAGTGAGCGGAAGAGGCTGCTGTGCGGTCGGTTCTGTTCGCATACCAGGCAAGTGAGTGGTTGATATACATCACCATTTTGACAAGTAGTGTGTGTTGCGTGAGGACCAACACCACCATTCGATCGTAAAATACATGGTAAACGCTGAAATTTCAAGGTGAAAGCTTAACGTGCCACAGCGCTCTGCAAATCGAGGGTAGCGCACTCTAAGGTCACATGACTTTTAGTATACCCGCTGCTACCAGCTGTGGTCCGTGCCTGTCATGCTCAGGTAATGCGCGCTTAAATGAAGTCGAACCTCAATGCCACTAGTGGATAAATCGGAATAAAGGCGCTCCAACCAACTGAAATGTTGTGATAAAGCACAGAACGGGAAATGAGGGAAAATATCGATTGCTTTTTTTGCGGACAAGCTTAAACATCTGAGAGAAAAAAAAATCACCACCGTCTGACACTATCGTCGTCACCGTCAACAATCACCATCAATAGTCCGACTCCCATTCCCGAAGGACGATAAGACCACCACATGGATACTCGTGTCCATCCAATGTTAAATAAATTGGACCGACTTTTGGGGAGGAGCGATACCTCGGACGGAGCCATGTCACCGAAGTTCAAGCATAGAAAAACATCCCTGACGTGCTCAGGAGTCTAAGCCTTGAGGCGCATATGAATATTTGACTCCCTGCGAACTAAGACACATGACTGGCCGTGCTAGGGTGGGATTTCAATGTGCCCAAGGTGCTTTTTTGAAAAAAACAGCAATGCATTCGTAGATGTCATTGTCGTGGTCTGGTCACCCTCTCCGCATGGAAAACAGACAACGCTTGAACATGAAATGGAGATTCTGGGCTTGTTACGCTTTACAGTCCTTGATATCAAAATGACGATTGGTTATTTCGGAGGCGTCCATGTTTTCCCCAGGCTTGCTTGCAAAATGACTGGTATTCCCAGACCCTTGCGTTGTTCGTCCCAAAGGTATAAGAACAGCAGCTCGTCCCAAGAGCTCAGTTAGCTGAAACGTCTGCATTTTGAATGACATACTGGTGGCGGGAAGAGTTCGAGACGCTTGAGGACTTAAGGTCCTTAGGTCCTTAAGCTCTTAGGGTCGTACTCCCACGGTCAGTGCCGGGGCTGTGGCAAGTTAAGTTTTTCCTAAAATTTCACCGTTGATCCGGAGTTCAACGACCGAATGGTGGTGTCGGAGCTCGCGCAACAAACACCACATAGTGCAGGCGCTGATAGCAGCAATATGTCTTATCAAAAGCTTAGGATCAAATATTGAAAATGAACTCAATTAAATACCGCAAACGACTTAGTGATATTATTTCCAATGTCTTCCTGGATTAGGACCAAATTGTTATACATGCCTGCCATCCACTCGTCCGCTACGATAACAGAACCGACGCGCATCAGCCTTTCCAGTTCACTTCAATGCGGGTCAAGCTTCACTGCCACAACGTTGAACCAATGGGTCGGCCACCAGTCACTCCACCCCTCAAACGGGCCGGCCACCAGTCACTCCACTCGTCTAACCTGCCTGCTGCCGAGGGCATGCGCCGGGCTCAGGACTGTGCTGCGTTACAGTCTCAGGCAGCGCTACAGTCCAAGGCAGCGCTCCAGTCTAAGGTAGCGTTACAGTCTAAGGCTACGTTACAGTCTCAGGCAGCGCTACAGTCTAAGGCAGCGCTCCAGTCTAAGGTAGCGTCACGGTCTAAGGCTACGCTACAGTCTCAGGCAGCGCTACAGTCTAAGGCAGCGCTCCAGTCTAGGGTAGCGTTACGGTCTAAGGCTACGCTACAGTCTCAGGCAGCGCTACAGTCTAAGGCAGCGCTCCAGTTTAAGATAGCGTTACGGTCTAAGGCTACGCTACAGCGCTACAGTCTAAGGCAGCGCTGCAGTCTAAGGTAGCGTTACGGTCTAAGGCTACGCTACAGTCTCAGGCAACGCTCCAGTCTAAGGCAGCGCTGCAGTCTAAGGTAGCGTTACGGTCTAAGGCTACGCTACAGTCTCAGGCAGCGCTGCAGTCTAAAGCAGCGCTACAGTCGTACAGCAGCTTTGCGCCGCATCCAGTCTAAGGTTCCAGAATTGACCTCCGAGGGGTAAGGCACACTGGAAGCTCGATAGGACTCCAGTGTTGCTGTAACTCAACATTGTCGTGAATAGAAAAGTACTTCATTAACTTAAAGTCTTTTGTGCGAATGGGCCCTAGCTGCTCTGAATACATAAATATATAAAGATGTCCGACGCTAACACAATATGTATGCATAGGGGGCACTTTTGTCCAGCGGCATGTTCAATGCTTGGACGCTGCGTCCCGAGCGGCCCAGCGTGTGGTCGGCCCGGAAGTCTTCGGTCTCCGGTTGACGACCGGCACTGCGTCGCGCGGCTCGCGCGCATTGTCGATTCCGGCGAGACGCCGGCTCCTACGCTGTTCGGCGCAGGGGCGCGTCGGCTTCGGCGGGCGGGCAACAGGTGCGCTGTCGGCCGTCCAGTCCGGCCCGGACAGCCGACGGGGAGGCCGAGCTCGCACGCCTCCGACGCACGCCATCTGGGCACCGGGTGGCTGAGCTCCGAGGGAGACCACTGCCAGCACGGCGTCCGGTGGCATCCTGTGGTGAGTTCTCACTGCCGCCATGTTGTGAAAACTGCTCACACGCACACACACACACACGCACGCACGCACGCACGCACGCACAATAAGCCCTTCTAACGCGATGAAGCTGTCTGATTAGTTGCGATTGTTCAAGGAAAACGCAATAAAAAGCTGGCATAAGTACGTGCGTGATATCATAATAACGTCATTCAAATCCTGCCGTTCCGTAAGCCATGCGGCGCTTAAGGCCAACAAATAGATTTTTCGGGGCATTTATGTCTTGTCGTTCGTGGGGGCGATTTCCAGATACAACGGCCGTCAATGGGCTCTCAATCAGTGTTGTGCAAGGTACGATGATGTAATCAAACCATGACTCATTGGGGGACGTGTTTAATAAACAGAGACTTGTGCTGTCATGAGCAGCCCCTTCCACGTTAAGATTATACCAAGAGTCAAAAGTGAGCTTATTTTATCTTATCTGATGCTTGCTTCAGTACTCTCAAATGTGAAACATTCCCTTCAAAGCGTGTTGTTCAAAGGTAAATTCACGGTGGCGGAATGAAAAGTAGTTGGTATGAAAAAATGCATGGATTCAGAGAGACACATAAATGAACAAAACACCATGAAGAGCAACACAAGCGCAACAAAATGAGCAAGAACGTTTGGATCTTGGCTGCGTGCGTGCGTCGCTAAAATATCAATCGACACACGGCCACGCTGAATGATCCACAAAAGTGCCCTTTTATGGCAAGGATTTCACACGAAAAAATAAGTGAAGAACACAATCTGCAAAGGTGTGTATCACAAGAGTTCCTAAAGCCAACATTGTCAGATGCGACAAAGCATATTCATGGTATGCACCCGCATTATGAAACTTGTGTAAAGAGGGTTCAGTCACATGATTGAATAGCAACAACTTGTATGAAGATATTTCTTACCAGGCTTGCTATCCAACTCAGTCGTTTATTTTTGTGACAAATGTGTGTAGATGCTGGTCATATAACGAAACAGAATGCATCTTAAAATTTAAACGTTCTGTGCCCATGAATGCATGTACGCCCACACTACTGCATGCCGCAATGCAATTTTACGAGTCTTTGTTTCGCATTAATTTATCCGACCATTTCTAATAAACTGACAGCAGCTCAGATACTTAATCTGTATAAAACTGCGACATAGCATACTCACAGCTTGTACCCGCAGCATGAAGCTTGTGCAATGCATGTCTCGTCATACGACGAAGAATCACGAACTTGTATGAAACTCTCCTTCATGTATTCCTGTTCATGAAGCTGGTGTTTTACCAAACACCGTGAAGTTTTTGGTAGGATTTTATCACGTATAAGGTGGGTGAAGGCTACTGTTAAAGAATTGCAGGATTAGCCCACCAGTGGACCATGTAAAAATCATATAGCTGTAACAGATGAGGCAGTAGTAATAGCATTATTCCTCGGAGAAAAAAAAACAGGAGAATGAAGATGTAGATGGGTTAATATTTCAGCAGGATGCCTTCATCGAAGCAATAACAGAAGTGAGCTAAATTACTAATTAATTCAAGTGTCGGTTCTAAACAGATTGATGCTTCTAAAAAATAGATGAAAAACAGTGTATATTCTTATACCTTTGATCCTGAGGTTCTTGATTCACTCCCGCTATTGTTTAGAAAAGACACGCTGTCGAAACATCAACCCATCCAGGCCTTCATTCCCCTGTTTTTTCCGAGGAATAAGGCTATTACTACTATCTTATCTACGTGAGTAATGTTCCCAGCAAATGCACTTAACACCTTACGCAGCAAATATAACAGAGTGGACCTAATTGAGAATGCTACATAAGCTCCTTGAACCAAGCAAGGACGGCTATAAATGTTCGCCCTTTCCATCCGTTTACATTGGAAGCTATTTTTCCTCCTTGCTGCCTTGGTCAACCCAGTCCCCGTTAATCTCTCTCTCTCTCTCTCTCTCTCTCTCTCTCTTCTCTCTCTCTCTCTCTCTCTCTCTCTCTCTCTTCTCTCTCTCTCTCTCTCTCTCTCTCTCTCTCTCTCTCTCTCTCTCTCTCTCTCTCTCTCTCTCTCTCTCTCTCTCTCTCTCTCTCTCTCTCTCTCTCTCTCTCTCTCTCTCTCTCTCTCTCTCTCTCTCTCTCTCTCTCTCTCTCTCTCTCTCTCTCTCTCTCTCTCTCTCTCTCTCTCTCTCTCTCTCTCTCTCTCTCTCCTCTCTCCTCTCTCTCTCTCTCTCCTCTCTCTCTCTCTCTCTCTCTCTCTCTCTCTCTCTCTCTCTCTCTCTCTCTCTCTCTCTTCTCTCTCTCTCTCTCTCTCTCTCTCTCTCTTCTCTCTCTCTCTCTCTCTCTCTCTCTCCTCTCTCTCTCTCTCTCTCTCTCTCTCTCTCTCTCTCTCTCTCTCTCTCTCTCTCTCTTCTCTCTCTCTCTCTCTCTCTCTCTTCTCTCTCTCTCTCTCTCTCTCCTCTCTCTCTCTCTCTCTCTCTATCTCTCTCTCTCTTCTCTCTCTCTCTCTCTTCTCTCTCTCTCTCTCTCTCTCTCTCTCTCTCTCTCTCTCTCTCTCTCTTCTCTCTCTCTCTCTCTCTCTCTTCTCTCTCTCTCTCTCTCTCTCTCTCTCTCTCTCTCTCTCTCTCTCTCTTCTCTCCTCTCTCTCTCTCTCTCTCTCTCTCTCTCTCTCTCTCTCTCTCTCTCTCTCTCTCCTCTCTCTCTGTGTGTGGTGTGTGTGTGGTGTGTGTGTGTGTGTCGCCTACCAGTTCTATGGTGTGTTGTGTGCACGGCAATGCACCGTCATATAACACTGCAGTGCACCGCCTCGCACGTTTCCCGGAGTTCCACCCGTGCAAAAACAAAAAAGGTGGCTCTTACATCGCCCGGTCACTAGCCTGGCGCATTACGTTAATGGCATGGCTATGTAGCCGGGAATCCATCAGGCTCGCTGTCGTAGCGGGCTAGTCTCTCCCTCAGCTGTGGACCGCGCCGTGATAATAACAGGCCACTTGCGGCGGGCCGCTCGGTGGCGTCCGCCCGTTCGTGTACGGGACGACACCGGCCATTGTTACGCTGTGTGGTGGCCGTGCCAGGTTCGTGACGAACCGCGCCTCGAACACTGACGTCTTCGTAACATTGCCAATGCTTTAGTTTATACGCCTTCTGTCTGCAGACACTGCAGAATACACAGAGGCGCCTGGAACCTCTGACGAGAGACAGCTGAATAATTCAGCCAGCCTCGTCGCTTACATAACGTGGACAGGAGCCAAGCATTGGCCGTGCCATTGATATTACCATTGAACAGTGTACCCACACCACACAAACGCGGACACACACGTATACTTGGCGATCCACAATGTACTTACGGCCACCACGGCCCATTGCCATGTGATTAAACAGATCGAAGTATAAAATAAACTGCTCTACGTGAAAGCCATTCCAGACGCAATCACATGGTGAATTAAGAGCGATTTGTAAATTAACATCAAAGGCACGCCAGGCATTAAATGGGCCGTTAAGAACGCGTACTTTCGCAAAGAAATTCGGCTTCTTGCTGTGAAGCAAACTTAAATGCTTTAGCTGGCATTACGATCCTGTCCTTCTATTTCAAAATAAATTATTTGAAAAAGATGGCTTATCAATAATGAAATGCTCTCTCAGAGTGCAAAGCGTCCAAAACTGAAAAGCACACGCAGAGGCGCCAGAGCGTCTTGGAGCTTGCGGACCCCCCTTGGAGCTCGAGGGGTAATCCAGCTCATACCCATATCCCACTGTATCTTACCTTTGCTCCATTTTGTGTGTGGAGATGTTATGACAGAGTATTGTCTGCAGCATTCTTGCGCAAGTGCAGCGTACATCTGCAAAAAGAACAGTGGTTTTATGTGGTGGGCTAGACCATTAGTTTGGTACTGAAAACAAATCTCGTTTGCGTATGTGTAAACGCTAGTCGAATTCAGAGCTGACCATATTTTGATGGCAAAGGTGTTTATATTCTCCGCGTGGACCTTCGTGCAGAAAATATCGCATCTGGTCTGTAAAAAATGCTTTCCGTGCATCTGAATGTGTCACTTTTTCTCTTTTTTTGATTTTGTTCATTTGATTGAATTGACACCTTTTTCTGATCATTACATTTTATGTCAGGGTCATGTGCTGCTTAAAAACAGCGAGTAACGCGAATTTTCATTCAAAGTGGTGGCGGTGACGGTGTGCCGACAGGGTCCAAGAGAGCAGTCTTTTCCTTTTAACAGCTACGGAACATGTTTGCAACAAGGATCTTTGCACAGTAAGCGGAGCACCGTACTCATGGAAAACATCGTAAACGTCATCGTATGACATATTGTGGATGCTGAGCATCGATCCCAATTACGACCGAATGTGCGGGAAGTTTTCAAATGCTCCCCGCCGTAGGCCAAACGCTGCTAATGGCTGTACAGACTCAAATATGTGTAGGAAAGATGAAGGGAATTCGGATCCGATCAAATCAGATGAGCCCCATGAACATGATGATGGGCATGTGGCCCGTACATGCGTCACACAGATAGCCAGAGTGTTTTATCCTTAGAAGTCCAGGTATTTTGTCACGTGCGATTTGATGCTTCATGTCACTTTGGTGAAAGAGGATTGCGTACTCCGCGCTCAGGTGGTCGGTTGAACACCCCTCGCTCGGGTGTGGTTTATTTTTACCCCGAGATCTAAGAAATCAAGAAAGCTAGAAACACAAAATTCAGGGCGTGGATTAGTCTGTATCTGAGTACGCTTGTGGCAAAATTTGAGGTCCTTTGATTGAGACATTTGGGTCAAATAAGGTAAAATAAGGCCAGACTCAAGATTGGCATCTAGGGTGCCCCCGACCTTCTCATGCAACCGCATTTGACCTGGATACCTGTTCTAAGCGAAAGTTCACTGGTGTTAACTTTAGTTCAGTGACCTCTTTGGCCTTTTGAATGTCATGGTGACCAAAAACCTCCGGAATCACTGTGTTTATCTTAATTTGAATAGTGTCAAGGAACACCCTGAGCGGTACGTTCCTAAAAAGGTTT